GACTGCAAACTGAGGTCAGATGACAGAGAGCTCCATAACTGGGGACTGCAAACTGAGGTCAGATGACAGAGAGTTCCATAACTGGGGACTGCAAACTGAGGTCAGATGACAGAGAGTTCCAGGTCAACTTCCATAACTGGGGACTGCAAACTGAGGTCAGATGACAGAGAGTTCCATAACTGGGGACTGCAAACTGAGGTCAGATGACAGAGAGTTCCATAACTAGGGACTGCAAACTGAGGTCAGATGACAGAAAACTGAGGTCAGATGACAGAGAGTTCCATAACTGGGGACTGCAAACTGAGGTCAGATGACAGAGAGCTCCATAACTGGGGACTACAAACTGAGGTCATAACTCCATAACTGGGGACTGCAAACTGAGGTCAGATGACAGAGAGCTCCATAACTGGGGACTGCAAACTGAGGTCAGATGACAGAGCTCCATAACTGGGGACTGCAGACTGAGGTCAGATGACAGAGAGCTCCATAACTGGGGACTGCAGACTGAGGTCAGATGACAGAGAGTTCCATAACTGGGACTGCAAACTGAGGTCAGATGACAGAGAGCTCCATAACTGGGGACTGCAAACTGAGGTCAGATGACAGAGAACTCCATAGCTGGGGGCGGCAAACTGAGGTCAGATGACAGAGAGTTCCATAACTGGGGACTGCAAACTGAGGTCAGATGACAGAGAGCTCCATAACTGGGGACTGCAAACTGAGGTCAGATGACAGAGAGTTCCATAACTGGGGACTGCAAACTGAGGTCAGATGACAGAGAGTTCCATAACTGGGGACTGCAAACTGAGGTCAGATGACAGAGAGCTCCATAACTGGGGATCTGCAAACTGAGGTCAGATGACAGAGAGTTCCATAACTGGGGACTGCAAACTGAGGTCAGATGACAGAGAGCTCCATAACTGGGGACTGCAAACTGAGGTCAGATGACAGAGAGCTCCATAACTGGGGACTGCAAACTGAGGTCAGATGACACTGAAAATCTTAGATCAATGCCTCCAGAGACACAAACTGCACATGACAACAGAATTGTATCTGTGGGGCGTGCGGCAGCACGCTATGTATTAGCTGTTTGGTAGCAGGTGTTTGGAGAAACATGAAACACGACTATGTAAAAATGACTTCATATTAACACCACTAACGTCAATGTAAAATCGACACTAGTTAAGGTATTAACATATGTGCAGTAAAATCAATGCGATCAGGTAGCGTACAATACCTGTGGAAGTCAAAATGTGAAATCAACAGGCGTTCAGTACTGGTGAAGGTTATAATATACTGTAATGTCAATGAAGTTGGCTACTGACAAAACTACTTCAGGTCATAAAATATATGTGCATTGTGAAAATCAATGTACAGTACCATACTGGTGACTGAATAACAGATGTCCACTGTGAAGCGACTATCATACCATAATATCAACGTGATCATTATGACCATTCCAGGATTTCAATCAACGCTGGAAACTTCATTCAACGCTGCACAACCAGTGGAAAAGTGTTAAGACAAAATGGACCAAATTTGCGTTTATTAAATGATCAATGTTGGTTAAAAGCCCACCACCAGAAATGACTTATCAGCAAATCAGCTGACAAATGACTGGTGTGCAATTAACAGTAGGACAGCTGCAGCATTACTAATAGCGAGCGACATCTATACATCTAAACGTTAATTAAGCACCACCCACTTTTGCAGAAAAGTTCAACATTCAAATCATGAAAAGTGCAATTTCCTGTCTGACTCAATGTAAAGAGGATTGATTGTGCTAAAGGGATGTCCTGCACTATCACTACACAGAAAGCGAAGCCGATGATTATCTTTGATACCAATTTATTGGAGTTATGCTGAATAAGCGTCCAAAGCGACCATTTCATTAGGCCTGAAAAGTATCACTGTCCAGTCCATACTGGTATCTGCAATGTCAAGCGTTCAACTTAAATATGCTTGTTGTCATCATGGCTATCTCAAGAAACTGTTTAGTCAGTATCGGGAGTATCCACCTCTAACACGAATCACATTTTCAAGGCGCCTTCTCATGCTTGGAAATGGGGCGTCTGATTCTAAGCATCGGGATTCTCTGCCACTCCTGCTGAATAGCCTGTTGCAGTTCATCCATATTCTGCACAGGAGGATCTCTAGTTCTCACTTGGCCCAAGATAATCCCATAAATGCTCTATGGGATTAAGATCCGGGCTTCTGGCTGGCCATGGAATAGTGTCAATAGCATTGTTCCTCAAATGATCGACTACTGCTCTGTACGATGAGGCCTGGCGTTATCATCCATGAACAGGGGACTGACTGGCAAGTGTGTGATTGTCAAAATGGGGTTATTACGGCAACATCCAAGATGTACGTTGATAGCGTTGTCCGTTTAACGTTCCCGGTACTGTGATTAGGTCCAGCTTGCAGTCGAGGTAGGACACACAACCCCACACCATCACTGAGCCACCGCCAAAGGGACCGTTGGTTCAATCATTTCGGGTTATAAGCTTCATTGCGGCGCCAGACACGGCTCGCGGCCGTCAGTGGCGATGCAACAGGTAACGACTTTAGATCCGACCAGTGGACTCTGCGCCAGTATCGGAGATTGTGGTTTTGCCTTAACCTGCACCACGCCAGGCGTTCTCGCGTATGTGTCTGTCAGTGAGAAATGGGCGTCCTGACTGGTCTCGTGCCGCGCCAATCCTGCAGCTCTTAACCTCTTTGGGGACGGTATTAAATGGACAGTCTGGCCGCCCACCGCCATTGTCTGACGGAGGTCTTCAGCATGGGTCATTGGATTGCGTCTGGCTAAGCGAATTAAGGCCCTGTCGTCCACGAGCACTAGTTTTTCTTGGGCGTCCAGGTCTGGGTCGGTCTTTGGCGTCTCCAGTTTGCACGCGTGCTTTCGTACACCAGTCGGCTAACAATGGTGTGATTGAGATTCAAATTGATACCAATTTGGCGGCATGATAAACCGGTTTCATGCATGCCAATGATTCTCCATCGTAGGTTCTCGGATAGCCCTCGTCTCGGCATGTTGTATTGGAACAGTACAATAACATCTGTTGCTTCAACGTTCAAATTTCAGCCACCAAGTATCAAACAACAATACTGTGTTTTCAGGCCAGAAAGACCCGTGCATGTGTATCGAGAGCGCGTGCATCTTCTGTATTATGCAGTTGATGTCTGCGATACGTGTGATGCACGGGCAATACAGGCATATAGCATACTGTGAAATTTCATTATCCTTACTTGACACTAATTGATAATATTTACTTTTGAATTTGGTGGTGCTTAATTAACGTTTAGCTGTATATATTGCATGGTGGGTAGCTGGACACTGATGGATTGTACAGATAGACTGCCATCTATTAATGTCACATAAAGAGGGTCCTGGGGATGGCTGTTATAAAACACTGTTAATGAACAGGCCACATATCAGTGAAGCCGAGACGTCATGCTATGAAATCAGTTGGCTCTGATTGCATTGGCCAGCCCTGTCCCCAACTGTCTGCTCTATCAATGTAATCTGGTAAATCTCAGAGAAACTGATGAGGTTCCAATATTAGTCATGGTGCCTCAACATAAGATGTAGTGGACTAACAACTGGCTAGATAACACTGGTCATGTAGTGGACCAACAACTGGCTAGATAACACTGGTCATGTAGTGGACCAACAACTGGCTAGATAATACTGGTGATGTAGTGGACCAACAACTGGCTAGATAATACTGGTCATGTAGTGGACCAACAACTGGCTAGATAACACTAGTCATGTAGTGGACTAACAACTGGCTAGATAATACTGGTCATGTAGTGGACCAACAACTGGCTAGATAATACTAGTCATGTAGTGGACCAACAACTGGCTAGATAATACTGGTCATGTAGTGGACCAACAACTGGCTAGATAACACTAGTCATGTAGTGGACCAACAACTGGCTAGATAATACTGGTCATGTAGTGGACCAACAACTGGCTAGATAACACTAGTCATGTAGTGGACCAACAACTGGCTAGATAATACTGGTCATGTAGTGGACCAACAACTGGCTAGATAATACTGGTCATGTAGTGGTCTAACAACTGGCTAGATAACACTGGTCATGTAGTGGACTAACAACTGGCTAGATAACACTAGTCATGTAGTGGTCTAACTGGCTAGTTATTATTCTCTCTCACTCTTAAAAAGCACTGAATAATCTTTGTAAATGTCCAGCCAACTTTTGGAAACACGACAAATGCCCCCTGTTCCTCAAGTTTGAAAGAGCGAATCATCTGATTGTTACAGTAAGTCCTACAAGAGTTGATGAGAGTATTCCATGTGATCTGTTTGTCCACATACAAGAGCAGTTATTGAGCTATCAAACAGCAGCAGTTATTGAGCTATCAATACAATAGCATAGAATTGGAATTAGGAATTGTACATCAGGAATCGATGTCAACTAGTACAATACACCAATATGTTAAAATTACTTTAATACATATCAATAATCATGATAATGTGATACAAAATCATGATAACATATATGAAGCCAAGGTAACAAATAATTCTGTGTGTACAGAAAGACAGCTGGTAGTTTTGGAGATGGTAGCCAACTGAAAATGGTTGGAAGAACTATAAAAAAACAAATATGAAACGGGTCAAATTTTTTTCAAGTTTAATCAGATATCTGTTCACATTGGGTCTGAACAAGCAGCACGCACATGTTATACGAAGAACAAAAATGACACATAAAATTAAATCTTACCATGATCAGTCTGAGCATGTTTTCCATTCAACCATGTGTGTTTGTGATACCCTCATTACAACATGAAGCCATCCACTCAGTTCAGCATGATGCTGGTTTAAGCTCTGAGAGGAACAACACAAGTGAATGTTGGACTTGTGTAGACACTTCCTAACTGCCAGTCCCTTGGATCAACCATGCTGTATGTGTAAAAAGCCCCTTTAAAACATGGGCTCCTTAGCAGCCAGTAACAGGGATCAGCCTTATTCTTTGCATGGAATGTCCCTTTATGACATGGTTTCCATGGCTGCCAGACCCTGGGATCAGTTGTATTCCTGGCATGGAATGTCCCTCTAAGACATGGTCTCCATGGCTACCAGTCACAGGGATCAGCCTTGTTCCGGGCATGGTTAGTTGGTGTTTAATGCCACATTCAGCAAAATTCCAGCAATATGGCAGTCTGTAAATAGTCGAGTCTGGACTAGACAATCCAGTGATGAACATCACGAACATCGATCCATGTAACTGGGATATGATGACATGTGTCTGACCACCCAATCCCGATAGCCGCCTCTTACGACAATCATAGGCTGCTGAAGATCCGGATCTTCACGGCATGTTGTATTCCTTGCATAGAATGTCCCTTTAAGACACAGTCTCCATGGCTGCCAGTCACTGTGGTCAGAAAATGTTGCCTGCTTTGATTACCCTCTAAGACATGGTCTATGTCTTCTCCTCATAGTAGTCCATATGCTGATGCTTGAGTACCTAGGAAGAAAATATGTCACCACTCGAACATTATTCTGGAGAGTTCAAACAGAGCTAACAGTAAAAGCAGTACATTATCTTTAGCGAGAATCTCATGAAAAAACAATTTATTTTTTCTTCATTTCCTCATTATACACTTCTTTGGTAACCCTTTCCAAAGGGCGTGTTTGAAAGTCATAAAAATATATGACAGCAGCGTAACTCCACCCTTCCTTAATCGGCCCCATATTTGTGTTATTTAACTACAAGACACCCCCCACAATGGATACTATATGAGTGCCATGCCATTCTCATAACTATCTCTCCCTGCCCTTCACAATGATAGAGAAAATGTGTCAGTATCTGATACAATATCATTCATTGGACACATTTTGCAAGGGAGGCAACTTCTTGATACAGCGGAAGAACTGGGAGAGTTTAGTTTTACCGCTTTTAAGCAATATTCCAGCAATATCACGGCAGGGGACACCAGAAATGGGCTTAACATTTGTGCCCATGTGGGGAATCGAACCGGGTCTTCGGTGGCGAGCCAACGCTAACCACTAGGCTACCCCACCGCCCTACAGCGGAAGAACTGGGAGATTTTACTCTGTATTAATGTAGATTATGCGGGTGGATTCTTGTATACGGAAATCTGTCCTACTTGTGGGTGCAGGCAACCTCTCAGTGGCACATGTGAACTAGGAGGAACTAGTTAGTCACTGAGTCAGATTCTGCATTCATTCGGAAGCTCTGTGTATATTTTCATTTCGATCATTTTCACTGTCTGTGTCATAAATGTAGACCATTGTTTGTGTTCAAATATTGTAACCATTATCAAGTGCAATATTGATAGTATCCTTAGAAAGATAATTCTCTTGGAGTATGTTTAATGCCAAAACACAGAATAGAGTTAGACTAGGCTACTGTTAGCATCAACTGAAAGAGTAGATTTGTTGTCGTTTCTCATACTAAAGCTCATGGAAGTTACTTGTTTCAAATGTTAATGTGAATAAAAATAGTAGGTAAATCACAGGCTATAATGGCCAGACGTCAGCAGTTTCTATAAGAAGGGAGGTAACTCACTTCATGTCCCCAGCTGACCCAGTCTGGCCACAAGTTCCTGGCAAACAGCTCCAGACATGCTGGTGTTGGCGGGAGATACTGGGCCAGAACATCTGGTAACAAACACAGAACATCAGGGGCTACAGACTGTCATACATGCAGCAGTTCTAATGATGAAGTATGTCACACCTACAAGATGAAATATTCACCTGTCTCGGAGTCCACTGAATTACAAGTATCAACATTCTAAATATGCTAATTGAACTGTTCTTCCTATTCTACTAAGACTATTTCGAACATCATAATTTGTCAAACAGACTTCAGTTATGGCTGCTGACCTTGAAGTGGTGGTTTCTTGGAGTGGAGACTGCAGGGCACACTGACGATCACACGACTGTCTGGCAGATCTGACACGTTACCCTCCGATACGTTAACATGGGTGGCATCAGGTGAGTTTGCTCCCTTTGCTGAAGTGTCAGGTGGACCTGCCTGGCTCTCTTGAGTTACCTCCCCTCCCTTCCTCACCAGACGTCCAAGAAGCAGAGTTTCGTATGGTTTCTTTGTAGGGGAGTCAATATCACAGACCATGGTCCCATCCACTGTCACCTGTAACAACAGACATGTTTACTTCTAGAAATAACTGCACAACACGTTATATCTGATGTGACCAATTAGCCAGGTGTCTGATATGACCAGTGAGCTAGGTGTCTGATATGACCAGTGAGCCAGGTGTCTGATGTGACCGTGAACCAGGTGTCTGATGTGACCAACTAACCAGGTGTCTGATGACATGACCAGGTGAACCAGGTGTCTGATGTGACCGGTGAACCAGGTGTCTGATGTGACTGTGAACCAGGTGTCTGATGTGACTGGTGAACCAGGTGTCTGATGTGACCAGTTGCCAGGTGTCTGATTGACCCGGTGAGCCAGGTGTCTGATGTGACTGGTGAACCAGGTGTCTGATGTGACCGGTGAACCAGGTGTCTGAAGTGACCAACTAGCCAGTGTATGATATGACCAGTAAGCCAGGTGTCTGATGTGACCCGGTGAACCAGGTGTCTGATGTGACCAGTGAACCAGGTGTCTGATGTGACTGGTGAGCCAGGTGTCTGATGTGACAGGTTTGCCAGGTGTCTGATTTGACCAGTAAGCCAGGTGTCTGATGTGACTGGTGAACCAGGTGTCTGATGTGACCAGTGAACCAGGTGTCTGATGACTGGTGAACCAGGTGTCTGATGTGACTGGTTTGCCAGGTGTCTGATGTGACCAGTAAGCCAGGTGTCTGATGTGACTGGTGAACCCAGGTGTCTGATGTGACAAGTTTGCCAGGTGTCTGATGTGACCAATGAACCAGGTGTCTGATGTGACCACTGAACCAGGTGTCTGATGTGACTGGTGAACCAGGTGTCTGATGTGACAGGTTTGCCAGGTGTCTGATGTGACCAGTAAGCCAGGTGTCTGATGTGACAGGTTTGCCAGGTGTCTGATTTGACTGGTGAACCAGGTGTATGATGTGACCAACTAGCCAGGTGTATGACATGACCAGTAAGCCAGGTGTCTGATGTGACTGGTGAACCAGGTGTCTGATGTGACCAGGTGAACCAGGTGTCTGATGTGACCAACTAGAACCAGGTGTCTGATGTGACCAGGTGAGACTGGTGAGCCAGGTGTCTGATGTGACTGGTGAACCAGGTGTCTGATGTGACCAGTGAACCAGGTGTATGATGTGACCAACTAGCCAGGTGTATGATGTGACCAGTAAGCCAGGTGTCTGATGTGACTGGTGAACCAGGTGTATGATGTGACCAACTAGCCAGGTGTATGATGTGACCAGTAAGCCAGGTGTCTGATGTGACCAGTGAACCAGGTGTCTGATGTGACCAGTGAACCAGGTGTATGATGTGACCAACTAGCCAGGTGTATGACATGACCAGTGAGCTAGGTGTCTGATATGACAAGTTTGCCATGTGAACCAGGTGTATGATGTGACCAACTAGCCAGGTGTATGACATGACCAGTAAGCCAGGTGTCTGATGTGACTGGTGAACCAGGTGTATGATGTGACCAACTAGCCAGGTGTATGACATGACTAGTAAGCCAGGTGTATGATGTGACCAGTGAGCCAGGTGTCTGATAGGACAAGTTTGCCAGGTGTCTGATTTGACTGGTGAACCAGGTGTATGATGTGACCAACTAGCCAGGTGTATGACATGACCAGTAAGCCAGGTGTCTGATGTGACTGGTGAACCAGGTGTATGATGTGACCAACTAGCCAGGTGTATGATATGACTAGTAAGCCAGGTGTCTGATGTGACCAGTGAACCAGGTGTATGATGTGACCAACTAGCCAGGTGTATGACATGACCAGTAAGCCAGGTGTCTGATGTGACCGGTGAACCAGGTGTCTGATGTGACCAGTTAGCCAGGTGTCTGATGTGACCAGGCTGTACTCACCTTCACCCAGTGCCACTGCACGATCTGCTTGATGCCCCAGTGTGGCAGCAGTTGGTCCTGCACAAAGGCAGTAAGGCGGGGCTTGTTTGTGACCCACACAACAATCAGGCAGTTGGGTGAAGCTAAGTCAGACACCGGAAGCTGAAGCAAGGACTCCTCCTCTAGACTGTAGTAGCTGGAACAGGACAGGGTGTGTGAATGAGTGAGTGAGTGTACAGGTGAGTAAATAAGTGACAGAGAGTGAGAAAGAGAGTGATTCGGACACATACACGTAATATTTTCATTAAAAAGAATCTTACTTGACAGTAGTTCAGTTATATAATTGTGGACCCCTTTCAAAAGACGGTCTTCCCAGTAAGATAGCTTTGTATGGCAACAAACAGGAATGTAGTGTCCGTCTATCTTGGTCCCTTGTTCAAAATTCACAGTGATTCATTTTGGGATAGGTAGGAGTTGATTAATTCCTTTCTTCTCTTTCTAAATTAAGTTCCTTGAACGGCTGAGGAGAGTAACAGACAACCAGATACCTCCTCTTCCTCTTCACAGACTTGTTCTGCCAAGGAGGGTCGACAACGATCAAATCATACCCACCTGAAACTAATGCAACAATCATTTCTATTGGATTTAGAAAAATGTACACCAAAATTATGAACATCAAATACTGTACTCCACTGACCTATGATGCTGCAGAACTGTCTTACTTCTTACCCGTAAAGTGTCGGCGTTCTGCAGCAGCTGGTCGAAGTCGGACATGACGAATGATGATCGAGGTGGTATCAAGTAGTGGTGATCATCAAGGTACTGGACGACAGGATTGTCTCCCTTGAATGTCACTCTCCTGTGAAATACGTCTGTCCTACTGAGTGCTGTGAAACATTAAATTCAATGTCAATAGATGGTCTCTCAGCGTTTATTCTGCAGGAAACCTGGAATTGACATTTCCTCTTAAATCTAATAGTCTCTATCTGTGTGTGTGTGCGTGCATGTGTGCGTAAGCCAAGGGGTTTTGAAGAAGCAGCCCATCACAAGTATAGGAGTTGTGCAGACAATCGTAGATTGTGCTCATAACAGGCCTCCTTGTGCATCGCCATTACATCTCTACAGTTGTATCATCTACAGACACAGGGTTATCTGTGGCCCGCCGTCCAATTGTGGGACAAGTTTACAAATTTGAACATTTTAACTATAAATTGTACATAATACTTATCCTACCTTAGATGGATTCCCGCCCAACCTACCCCACTACACAGATTATGACATTGGCTCCAAGAAGAGAATGACTAGATCAAGGAGTCACATGATCAACCAGACGGCATGCTGCATGCTTCTCAGGAGGGTATCAAGCTGCCACCTGTCCAATAAGAGGAGCAGTAGGGTGTGTTCGGGCAAATGGTACAAGAGAGGCCAAAACTTCACTGGCAGTTCATTTCCTCTCAACTGTTGATCATGAGAGACAGAATACAAGACGTGAGATAGGATAAGTTTAAAAATACAAAATTTCAAACTTTAAACTTTTCTGCACCTATTCAATAAGCAATAACAACAATGAAAATAATCATAGGTCCTCAAATCCACAAGGCTATCATTAGTTTATCTACACAAACGTCTGACAGATATGAGTACCTGCTTCATCACCAGTGAGGACAAGTGGCGACTGCCAGGAGTTCTCTCCCTTGGACCATGCTTCTGCCACCTCAGCCAGCCTGTCCCCGGGTCCTGCTAGACTTGCTGCTTGTCTTGCAGGGGTGTTGTTGTCACTGGGGACGCCGCTCCTCACCAGGAGATGTCCATGTTGGCGGGCAGCATCCACGAGTGTGGATAGGGCTGATGACAGTCTCGCAACAAGCTACAAGACACACAGAGGACACTGTAGCTCACCTTAACCTTCTTACATAAGTGTAGTTCGGGTTTAAAGAGATGTTTGGATATTATGTGTGTGAAAGCAATACCTACTATTTAGCTTGAATATACAAAGAGTATCTGCTTCTGCTAAGTCTTTTTTTGACATACAAACAGTCTTAACACACAATCATCCCCTATTCTTACTAAGTTACATACACAGATCCAGATAATGTTTTCAGCCATTGATGACATACCCACATGTTATAATTCACTTTGGGTATTCATACTTTTCTGTTGGAATTTAATATATTTTCACTTCATTTGGTCGAGTTGATTTCGTATTGCCATATTAACCAATGAGTGAATTAAAAAAAATGTTCTTAAAACCATGTTTCAGGTGACTTCTGTACAAGAAATACCCCATGTGAATTCACCACAGTAATACATGTTTAAGTTAGAGTTGAGCAAGACGCATAATTCACTGGTGAGTTCACTTATACTTGTCTACATTCTATCAGTAAAGAATGATCTGCAAAATAGGAACATGAGATGAAAGGTTACAGGAAGTGTTGACATATCACTGGGTCAGAAAGTACAAACCTCTTTTGATTTCCTGGCTTCACTGTCACAGCTCATGGCTTGTTTCCTCTCGCTGCAATTATTGACAGATATTTCTCAAAATGAAACGATTTTGATATAAACCTTGTTGTCTTTGACATCATAATTGAAAGTTTAGTATGTACAATGTCATCCACTAACAAGCACTGTAGCTTCAGACAATATATATTTTCTTTGATTGGCATTCTAGAAGTTGGGTAGATGAAGAGTGAGGACTATTTTTATGGATATACAACTTTCTTTATTCTATACATAGATGATGTCTCGACATTTCAGATTCTAATAGATCGAATTGTCAAGCGATTAGAATCTATGTCTAAACGTCAGCCTATATAGAATAAAGAAGTTGTATATCCATAAAAATAGTCCTCACTCTACAATATATATTGCAATACAGACACTTGTAGCAAAGTACATTACAATCATTTTTCTCAAAATTTCTTGGCCTGAACATGGATTTGGGAGTACATCAGAGGCCATTGCAGTGGAAATGGATTATGTTGCAGACGGATCACCTACTGTCCTCAAACATGTCAGTTACACTGATTAGTCTCAGGTTTGTTTAGCAGAAGTTAATAACCTTTCTCTTCTTTGTATGTGGAGCTTGTGGCGCCTCCTGGAGCTGGCGCCACTTTTCAAACTGGGAATCCATCATGAAGGGACACTGCAAATCAAACATGGCCGACTTGAGACTGTAGTGTGTGTTGGTGTGGGGTGGACGATAAGCCTCGTCCACTGCCCTCAGGTGGTCGATGACCCAGCCTGCCTCCGTCTTACACACCACTGTCATGGTGGGGGATCAGTCTTTGGGGGCCTGGGAACATTCAGCTCTCCTGGTTGGCATCTGAAATACAGCCAAGATGATTCATTTGTGGGACATTAAGGGAGACAAGACTCGGCCAACTGGTGATCCTAGCAAATTTGACTGAATTCAATCAAATATGCTGTCAATTCATCAATCATATTTCTCTCAACTCAATAGTTTATTACCCTAATTACAGTTGTCTGTTTCTGTAAGTATGAGGATAGGCTTACAAGTAAATATAACTATACAACCCCTGAACCCATGTGTCATTATGAATGGTTTCCACTGAACTACTTGATAAGTTCACACACAGTATACCATGTATACATCAGCAGAATTTTAGGGGACAATGCGAAACGTTACAAGCTCTGCTTGAAATAAACTTCACAGAACCTGCTATTCCAGTTAGATTACATGGCTGACACATCAGTGAAGGGCACCTGCATCCATACACCCACCTACGCTCAGGAGAAGTAACCATTAATGACTGACTAAAAACTATAAAGTAGGAATGTTAGAAAGATAAAGACAATTTTAAACAAATTATATTGAATAAACGGATGAACAGAATGTGTCTTTAATGTGTCCCTCACCAATATTCCTAACGTATGACAAAGCTGTAAATATTTGAGGAGGGATAAGACATTTTCCCGGTTACCGACGTTGTGAGGAACGACCAACTGTAGACCAACTAGAGCATAACAACCTGGCTACTGAACCCATTATTCTGTCTTCAAACATGTTAAAGGGAAACAACACTCCAAGTGTTAAAGCATTGAAATATGAATCAGCTTTTTCTGAATCAAATACTAGTCTATTATGCACTATAATTTAGACTGGCTTGACTTGACAGTGCTATTCTTGTTTCACAAAGGCAAGCAAAACCAGTTAAATGATCATACACTGAGATGCCGCATATTATGACAAAAGATATGCATTAAACAGCTGCAGCTGTTTAATTGGTTGCTGTTTAATGCTTGCAAGACTTCAAAGGGTGAAGTTAGTGGGGGACATCACATAGAAAACTACACAGTATCCCTGTAGAGATTTCAGGAAAACGAACAAATGAGAACAGACTTGACGTTTGAGATAAATCATTACTAGACATGATATTATTTACCATTTGAATTTTAGAATATATAGGGGGCAGTGGGGTAGCCTAATGGTGAAAGTGTTTGCTCGTCACGACGAAGACACGGGTTTGATTCCCCACATTGGTACAATGTGTGAAACCCATTTCTGGTGTCCCCCTGCCGTGATATTGCTGGAATATTGCTATAAACTGCGTAAAACCAAACTCACTCACTAAAATATACATAAAATTTCGGGATACTGTAATCCGTCTTCTATCTCACAACAGATAAATAAATTTGGTTTAGGTGTTTCACATCAGTGCCATGTCACATTGGTCAACTGAAATGGCACGCGTGACATCTATGTTCATGATGTTAATGATGATAATAATGTGGCCAGTTATATAGCACTGAAGGCCATGCCGCAGGGACATGCTCTAATTCCCAATCTGTCTGTTGTTAAATGATGCCCAAAACAGGCACATTGGTACCAAACCTAAACATGACGGACATCATTACCCTGGATAACCCAAGCTGCCTGTCTCCACCATGATATTGCTAAAACTGGAGTAAAACCACACTCAAGCTGCCTGTGCGCTGCCAGCAGGTTAACAGTCATATGACTTATTCCACTGGGTAGCCATTTTCTGCTGGGTGAACAGATTCAATTTTGAACAAACTCACTTGCCTAAGGTGAGACCAGAGACCACATGTGTGCTTCGTTGTGGAGCAGAATAGAAGTCCTAGAAACTCTCAGGAGTCCAGCTGCCAAACACGGTCAGCCATTCAAGGACTCTCCGTGACCAACGTTGCTTAACTTCATCTGATTTGCGACCTGAGCTCAACGCACAGGACCACACACTACCACAGTGTGTGTGGTTGTTAAAAACATCCATTAAGGTAGATAACAATGAGTAAACATCAATGGTTTAGCTGCTTATCCTCGGAACAAAGTACCGGTATGTTTTTTGTACTGTTGATCACTGGATTGTCTCATCCAGATTCCATTATTTACAGACCGCTGCCATATGGTTTAAATATTGCAGGCCTTAAACAACAAACAACACAGAAACAATCATGTTATTGGTTAATCCTTCGATGGATAGATTTTGTGTAACTCAACTATCTATTCCTCTCTTGCTGTGCTGCCACGTGCATAGTGACTGCATATTACACAACCAGTAACACATTCACCACTACTTACCTGGATCTATAACCAAATCTTGGCCAAGTGGGGAAGTGCCTCTGTCCACTCATATTACATAACAACACAAGAGTGTATCCAGTTCATTGTGTGATCTGTGATTGTCTGTGTGGTGAAGCACATGTTGTGGTCTCCTTGTTCAGCTCTTCTCTCTCTCTTCTCACACACACAGTTTGTCTGTCTCTCTCTTATCAGTACATCTCTACCTCTGGACCAATGCTGGGGCAGTACTTGTCCTGAGCCCTAACTTCCGATGACAAGTATTTAATACTTTACCCTAAACACAAGTATCAGATATCTGGCTCAAGCCAAAAAACCAGAGAGGCAGTGTTGTAAACTCCCCAAAATTTCAGCCAGAAACTGGTCTGGTAACTCTCAAAAGTTATCAGACCGGTTGGAAAGTTGAAAGTCCAGTATTTCTGGATTAAGAAAAAGATATAGAAGGCAAATAAGAGGAGGGAACTGTTTGATGTCAGGTTGTTGTCACAATAACACACATTTTCAAATCTGTTTCAGTCAAGGCTTTAGTCATTATATACATTACAAAATTACACGGATTTAACAGCCATACCATCGGGCGTGCAACCTTTTAAAACTGACCGTCTGTCACAAAACAAACCGTCCCGGACGGTCGGGCAGGCGGGAGTTTGCAACGCTGAGAGAGGGTATCTCGGGTGAAATACACTGGAAACTTCCAACACAACGCGTGATCGAACAAAAGTATTCAATGTGCCTGGAACAAGTAATCGTACAGCTACCAGATGATCATCAGTATGAAGAAAGAGGCAATAGCTGTTGACATCTGAATATGTAACTGCTCCACAGAACAAAAAGGGAGATTAGGGAGTTTGTCTAAAACTTACAGTGACACATTAACAAAGGATGATTTTGGCCTTGGATACAGAGACACTGGAAAGCCTTGGATACAGAGACACTGGAAAGCCTTGGATACAGAGACACTGGAAAGCCTTGGGTTCAAACTGAAACAAATACTCCTGAATCTAAGCCTTATCACAGAATTCTACCAAGGCGGAAGGTCAAAGAACACATCAAGATATTATTACAACAAAATATGATTAGACCAATCCAATAATGCTTCGCCAATTATCACAAAGGGATCAATCAATTTGCCTATGCATTATCAAAAATCTAAATCTAAGACTTAATAAAAAGATGCATTTCCATTGCCTAGAACTATCAGACTTTGGATGCACTTCAAAGAAGCCAATAGCTCTCAGCACCAAGTGGTGGTTGAGAAGAAAGACAATGAAAAGACTGCTTTTACCACTTCCTATGGGCTATATCAGTATAATCGCATGCCTTTTGGGTTGTCGGGGGCTACTTCCACATTCAAAAGGCTTATGCAGCAATGGTTTCTGGGAAAAGAAATTTCGGATTCTGCTAGTTTACAAGGATGATATGAACATAGTTTCCAAGTCTTTGAAGGTAAACGTTTGCGTGGTTGGAGGAAGTATTAGAAACCATAGGAAAACACAGGTTAAAGCTCAAACCAAGTACCGGTAAAGCTTGCTTGCTGCAGGGAAAGGTTAAATATATTTAACATGTGATCTCTGCCCAAAAAGGTGTTGTAATTGATCCAGACAAAGTGAAAGATGTAGCAGAATGAGAAGTACCCAAGAAAGTGAAGGATTTGAGATTGTTCCTGGAGAAAGAAGAGTGACAGCTTGCGCCAGTAGGTGTTTGGGACTCACTGAGAAAAACTAAAACAATTACAGTTCTATGAAAATTGAACTGCTTGCACTCAACTGGACCATTATATAATACTGACAAGATAAGAGATTACTAGCCCGGGAATAAGTTCACCGTGTATACTGAGAACTACCCACCTTCACACAACTGAACTCGGGGCAGTGGAACAGAGACAGGTGTCCCAGCTATCAGTGTTTGGTTTGAGTGCAGCTCAACACTATAAGAAAGCTGATGTACTATCTAGAAATAACTCACCTAGTACTTTCAGTTAAGGCAACTTTGAAGAGAGAGGTATCTACAGTGGCGATAGTAAGGTGAAGATTTCTGTACATTAGTCTAAAGAGTCAACAGTTTCTTTTCCAAGTTACTGTCAGGAAGAAATCGTACTCAAGAAAAACAAGGATGTTGCCATCCAAAGAATATTGCATTATATTGACACAAGACGAAAACCTACAAGTGAAGAGAGTCAGTGAAAACAGAAAAACACAGGTCTTGATCAAAGATTGGAAGAGGTTGTCTATTCATGATTAGCTTCTTCAGAGAGAAGTTCAAGATCCCTGCACCGATCACACAGCTTGTACTTCCATTCTGAAATAGGGGGTCTTGGAGAGAATACATGACCAGGCAGGGCATCAAGGTTTGAGTGTACGCTCTACACTCAGTCTTCTGTGGGACTGCTGCTTCTGGCTAGGCATGAACTGCTGCACAGTTTTGAACAAGGTGTGCTATTGCGGAGATTCTACATCACTGATGCCCTCGCAAAGTTTACAGTGGCCAAGGCATTAGTTTTAGAATGGTTCCATAGATATGGACCACTTAAGAGAATTCATTCTAACCATGCTGACCATGGTCAAAGTTTGAGTCAGAGAGTCAGCAGCGAACATTCTCTGTGTAGTGTATCAAGAAGTGAACCACTCCACACCAC